CACAGTGGTCGTTAGTGCACTTGTTCTTACCAGTCGTTGGTAATTAGTGTTCTTCCTGACCACTGTTAGTTAGTACTGTTTTCTGACCAGTGAGGGTTCGTAAAATATTTCCTGACCAGTAGTGGTTAGTAATATATTTCATTACCAGCTGTTAATAGTTAGTTTGTTAATTCAGTTTAATTTAATCAATTTACTACAGGAAGGTTAAGGCCCCAGTCCACCTACAGACTAACAGAAGAAACTTTAATCTCTAACATATGGATTAATATAAACTCTGAGTGTATATACAGTAAGTTCCAAAACTTCTGACAGTATACATGCGCCCAGTTTTTAACCAAATAAATATTTAATTTTATAACTGTTGCAAGTTTGTGAAAATAATGCTATTTTGTTAGTCGTTTTCTAGATGAAACAAAAATAGTTCATGGGCAGCCACGTTGACAAGAACGACAAAATTAAAGTGCCACGAACTGCAGAGACAATGAGTACAGACACTAAGACTATGTTCAAGTTAGACAACATTACCAGTGGATGATAACACTTGGTGCAGCTCAGATTATCTTAGTTTGTCTAATAACTTTATTATGCTGTAGTACCTATCCTAACTTAATAACTTTATTATGCTGTAGTACCTATCCTAACTTAATAACTTTATTATGCTGTAGTACCTATCCTAACTTAATAACTTTATTATGCTGTAGTACCTATCCTAACTTAATAACTTTATTATGCTGTAGTACCTATCCTAACTTAATAACTTTATTGTGCTGTAGTACCTATCCTAACTTAATAACTTTATTATGTTGTAGTACCTATCCTAACTTAATAACTTTATTATGTTGTAGTACCTATCCTAACTTAATAACTTTATTATGTTGTAGTACCTATCCTAACTTAATAACTTTATTATGCTGTAGTACCTATCCTAATTTAATAACTTTATTATGCTGTAGTACCTATCCTAACTTAATAACTTTATTGTGCTGTAGTACCTATCCTAACTTAATAACTTTATTATGCTGTAGTACCTATCCTAACTTAATAACTTTATTTTGCACTTAGTACCCATCTTAACTTTCATGGGGTATTTGTTGTAGAGTAAATCATCGTTTCGGTGATAAATCCATCATCATCATAATGGGTCCATAATGGGTCCAGTCCCTGGACCCATTATGTACCTCTGTAATCTTTTAACTACCGCCCACAGGATGGGTATGGGGTGCAAAATGAAGGTATTAAACTTAACTTATTCGGCAGGAAGAGAGCTGCTATTTCAGCCAAAATCGCAAGTTTTACCTATTCAGCACGACATATACTCACCTATTTGTGGTTGCAGGGGTCGATTCACAGCTCCTGGCCCCGCCTCTTCGCTGATTGCTACTAGGTCCTCTCTCTCCCTGCCCCATGAGCTCTATCATACCTCGCCTTAAAACTATGTATGGTTCCCGCCTCCACTACGTCACTTTCTAGGCTATTCCACGGCCTGACTACTCTATGACTGAAGAAATACTTCCTAACATCCCTTTGATTCATCCTGGCCCCGCCACTTCACTGATTGCTACTAGGTCCTCTCTCCCTGCTCCATGAGCTTTATCATACCTCGTCTTAATACTGTGTATGGTTCCTGCCTCCACTACGTCACTTGCCAGACTGTTCCACTTCCTGACACCTCTGTGACTAAAGAAATACTTCCTAACAACTCTTTGACTCATCTGAGTCTTCAATTTCCAATTGTGACCTCATATTTCTGTGTCTCATGTCTAGAACATCCTGACTCTGTCCACCTTGCCAATTCCTCGATGTATTTTGTATGTCGTTATCCTCTAACCCTCCTGTACTCTAGTGTTATCAGGCCGATTTCCCTTAACCTTTCTTCGTTGGCCATTCCCCTGAACTCTGGAACTAACCTTGTTGCAAACCTTTGCACTTTCTCTAATTTCTTGACATGCTTGTTCAGGTGTGGGTTCCAAACTGGTGCTGCATACTCCAGTATGGGCCTGACGTACACGGTGTACAGTCTTGAACGATTCCTTACTGAGGTACCGGAATGCTATATTCAGATTTGCCTGGCGCCCATATGCTGCAGCAGTTATCTGGTTGATGTGCGCCTCAGATGTGCTCGGCATTATACTCACCCCAAGATCCTTTTCCTGGAATGACGTTTGCAGTCTTCGGCCACCTAGCCTATACTCTGTCTGTGGTCTTCTTTGCCCTTTCCCGAGCTTCATGATTTTGCATTTGGCGAGGTTAAATTCGAGGGGCCAGTTCCTGGACCAAGCTTCCAGCCTGTCCAGGTCTCTTTGTAGTCCTGTATGATCCTCATCCTATTTAATTCTCCTCATTAACTTCACATCATCTGCAAACAGGGATACTTCTGAGTCTATCCTTTCCATCATGTCATTCACATATACCAAAAATAGCACTGCTCCTATGACTGACCCCTGTGGAACCCCGCTTGTCACAGGCGCCTGCTCTGATACGTCGTCACGAACCATGACTCGTTGCCTCCCTGTCAGATATTCTCTGATCCATTGCAGTGCCCTTCCTGTTATATGTGCCTAATCCTCTAGCTTTTGCATTAATCTCTTGTGAGGAGCTGTGTCGAAGGCCTTCTTGCAGTCCAAGAAAATGCAATCTACCCACTCATCTCTCTCGTGTCTTACTTCCGTTACCTTGTCATGAAACTCCAATAGGTTTGTGACACAGTATTTGCCTTCATGAATCCGTGCTGGTTGTCATTTATAAGCTTGTCCCGTTCTAGGTGCTCCACCACTCTCCTCCTGATAATCTTCTCCATGACTTTGCATACTGTACACGTCAGTGACACTGGTTTATAGTTTATGCCTTGTGTCTGTCTCCTTTCTTAAAATTGGGAACTGCATTTGCTGTCGTCCATACCTCAGGTAGTTGCCCAGTTTCAATGGATGTGTTAAAAATTGTGGTTAGGCACTCACAGTGTCTGCTCCCTCTCTAAGGACCCACGTTGTGTGTGTGTGTATGTGTGTGTGTGTGTGTGTGGTGTGTGTGTGTGTGTGTGTGTGTGTGTGTGTGTACTCATCTATTTGTTTTTGCAGGGGCCGATACTCAGGTCCTGGAGTTTACCTGGAGAGAGTTCCAGGGGTCAACGCCCCCGCGGCCCGGTCTGAGACCAGGCCTCCTGGTGGATCAGAGCCTGATCAACCAGGCTGTTGCTGCTGGCTGCACGCAAACCAACATACGAGCCACAGCCCGGCTGATCCGGAACTGACTTTAGGTGCTTGTCCAGTGCCAGCTTGAAGACTGCCAGGGGTCTGTTGGTAATCCCCCTTATGTGTGCTGGGAGGCAGTTGAACAGTCTCGGGCCCCTGACACTTATTGTATGGTCTCTTAACGTGCTAGTGACACCCCTGCTTTTCATTGGGGGGATGGTGCATCGTCTGCCAAGTCTTTTGCTTTCGTAATGAGTGATTTTCGTGTGCAAGTTCGGTACTAGTCCCTCTAGGATTTTCCAGGTGTATATAATCATGTATCTCTCCCTCCTGCGTTCCAGGGAATACAGGTTTAGGAACCTCAAGCGCTCCCAATAATTGAGGTGTTTTATCTCCGTTATGCGCGCCGTGAAAGTTCTCTGTACATTTTCTAGGTCGGCAATTTCACCTGCCTTGAAAGGTGCTGTTAGTGTGCAGCAATATTCCAGCCTAGATAGAACAAGTGACCTGAAGAGTGTCATCATGGGCTTGGCCTCCCTAGTTTTGAAGGTTCTCATTATCCATCCTGTCATTTTTCTAGCAGATGCGATTGATACAATGTTATGGTCCTTGACCCAGCCTCTTCACTGATCGCTACTAGGTGTGTGTGTGTGTGGAAAAAATCGGGAACAAGCAACGATGCAAGATGCAAAACAACCACGGGGAAGTTGAAATCATCACATCAGGAGCTTGATGTTGTAAAAAAAGAAAGATAAAATCTGAGCAAACACGTTTGGAGTGATTGTATAAAAAACGCTCACTCTGAACGTGGTATTTGCTCGGATTTCATCCTCTTTTCTGCAACATTGCAATCTCCTGATGTATTGATTGCAATACGAAAGGCCCAGAGCTATCTCTCAACTCCCCCCGTGGTTGTTTTGCAATATATACGAGTATTTACGAGTCGTTTAACAAGATTTAAAAGCTTTGAGGGCATAGTTAATAGTCATATATAATGTTTATACATTCTCAAGTTTGTGTATATGCATTCTCAAAGTATACCTGGAGAGGGTTTCGGGGATCAGTGCCCCCATGGCCCGGTCTGTGACCAGGCCTCGTGGTGGATCAGGGCCTGACCAACCAGGCTGTTACTGTTGGCCGCACGCACCAGGCTGTTACTGTTGGCCGCACGCAAACTGATGTACGAACCACAGCCCGGCTGGTCAGGTACTGACTAGGTGCCTGTCCAGCACCTCCTTGAAGACAGTCAGGGGTCTACTGGCTGTCTAATCGGCAGTTGAACAATCTTGGGCCCCTAACACACTGTGTTTTCTTTGTAAATATAATGTATATACATTCTCAAGGTGTGTGTAATGTATATCCATTATCAAGGTGTGTATATAATGTCCATACATTTTTGTGTTTATATAATGTATATAAATTCTCAAGGTGTGTATATAATGTATATATATTCTGAAGATTTGTATAATAATATATAATATATATACACTCTCCAGTTGTCTGTTGTCTACGAATATGAGTTGGTAGTTGAAAAAACTTGAGCTGTTAAAGGATCGTGCAGTGGAGAACTGAAGAAAAACTAAATACCGTCTCACTAGTCTGGCCATCCTGACATAGACACATGGTCATGTTGATTATTTTAACTAATTGTGGCTAAGTTGTGTGAGCAGTAGTAATCTGGTGTTTCTTTTGGGATTTAGAAAGGTATGTGGCAGGTATGTTCTTGGTGACTTAGAGGTAATAAGTTTTTTTTGTTCATGGTGACTTAGGCATAGAAAATTTAATAACATTTCTTGCCTTGGTGTTCCTTAGGTCTGAGACCGTACCGTGGAAGAGTGGCCAGCAAGTGCCTGCGTGCCCTGGGCACTGTATGGCAGGCAACGTTTGCCAGGGTGGGTGAAGACTGGGTCTTCCTGGCCATGCTTGGTATTGTCATGGCCATTGTCTCCTTCATGATGGACTATGGCATCGCCATGTGCAACAAAGGTAAGAGTCAGCGTGTGGGTATGACGGAAAAATGTGCTTCAACGGACTGACGTGGTTTTTTTTTAGGGTGTGAGTGTGCAGTAAAGGTATCGTAAGTTTATTTAGGCACAGGTACACATAGGTACAATTATTATACATAGTGTAAATTACCTATAACCCCAAAAAGTCAAAGTAACTTATTTCCATTTCAAGGACACACGATATTATCTGGCAAAGGCGAATTTGTTATATATCAAAATTTGTTACACAGCACATTGTATGGCTCCCCTGATTTATATGACATTTTACTAAGTTATAGCAACAACTGTGTTTATCTTATGATAGCCTTCCATTATATGTTCAGTAACTTTGGTATCCCTAATGATACTCATATATATATTTCACCGTGTCACCGCATGAAAAACCAGCAGCCACCCGGCTAACTTACCTCTATATACTATAAATATACTGTATACCTTGAGAGGTATATATATCTTATAGCATATATAAGCCGAGTTTACTTTAATCCCTATTTTATGGGTGTGGTGAACTGGTTATATGTAGCCGGTTAAGTTGAGTAGTTGATAGGTTTTAAGCTTATTTAATCAACCGACGCATTAGTTAGTGGCTATATCCAGCCAAGATATATCAACTTACATGAAGCTTACTTAGGTTAGGTAAGGTTCGTCAGGAAACAGGAAAAGTGTTTCCTGACGCGGGTCTTAGACGATGACCCGCCTTTGGAGCTTTGGTCATCTGACCGAGACCTCCCGCTGGCTTACCGGTCCACCCCTTTAAAAATAATAGTTATATAAAGTATGAAGCTTACTATAATGTAATAAACATAGTATAATATTATAAACACAATCTAAAGTACCTTCATAGTTTTTAATGAATACACTTCCCCAGTAACTTCACAGGGACCCCATGAAACACAAGGACCTCAGTGGAAATGTCTCACTTTTTTGGGTTATCCTTGGTAATTTACACATTACTGTATATAATAATTGTAATTACCTGAATTCGTATCACTATTTTTTGTGTACCTGTACCTTAATAAACTTCCCTACTTTATTTTTATTTCTTTTTTTATGCGATACAAATAATGTAGTTTACTTATAATAAAACATTGGTAGGCACAGAAGAAAGCCACTAATTATGCATTGCATTTTTATTTTGGGCAAACTTATCATAATGCTTTAATGTTACTTAAGATCTAACCATAGACTATTTAAATAGGACTTCTTCTGCAGTTAACTACAATCAAAAGTAGACTTAAAAAGGTAGCTAATGAACAAATGGTCAATTACAAAAGAATTACATGTTATTTCAAACTGATTTAGGGTTTAGCGCTGTTTTGATTATAATAATGATAATTCAAACTGATTCATTGATCTTCAGTTTTGTGGAGTAATTGAATAGAGATGAAAATACAACAGGTTACTTAGTTATACAATACTTATTTTAACTGCTATCTTAAATACTGTCTCCATGAGGGTTTGTTTAAGAAGTTACTTTATGTAAAAATTATCACAACAATATGCTTTTATTTACATAACCCAAACTTTAAGTTAAGTTCACACTTCTCAGGTGGAGGCAGTGTGAATTTGCTTACAGCTTCTCATAAAATGAAAGTATAGAGTGTAACTCTAGTCCCCTCAGAGTCATTATCATGACTCAAAATCATAATGAAACGATTACAAACAATTCCTACCATAGGCAGGGATAGAAGTCATGGCGAGTGAGTCATGTGTTATTATTAAATTCATGGGAAATGCTCACCACATGATTGTCATACAGCACTTGGAAATGGGAGATAGGTCTTATTCAAGGAAAATAAGGGTAGCTCCACTGGTGGTCCCATTTTATAATGAAAGTGGATTTTAGTTAGGTCTGATTCAAGGAAAATAAGGGTAGCTTTATTGGTTGTCCCATTTAATACTGGAAGTGGATTTACATTGTGTGGGGATCCCTGTGCAGTACCTCTAAGACTATTTATGTACAGTAGGACCCCCGTATCTACGGGTATGGTTTCAATTATCCTTGGTTTACCATGGCCCAAGTATAACCCTTAATTTTGCTTAATAATAATGGCCTCAAAGTGCAAAAGTAGAGATGTAGGCAGTTCTTCAAAGCTTAAGAGAAGCCATAAAGTTCTTCCCATCAGTGAAAAAATAATATGTAATTCTGGACACATTGTGCATGATTTATCAATGAAACTTTATCATAGGTATGTACATAAACAAAAAATGACTTATATATAGGGTTCGCTATTATCCGCAGTTTTGGTATCCGCGGCAGGTTCTTGGAACATATTCCCTAGTAAGTGTATGTGTTGCAGCTCAGGTGTGACTGTACTTAGGTTACCTCTCTACTGGGAATCCTAGACTGTACTAGGGGTTCTTGACTCTACCAATAAAAGTGTGTGGCAGCTCATTTGTGTGTGGGGGGGGGAACCCCTAACTTGACTGATAAATGTTTGTATTACAGCTCAGCTGTGGCTGTACCGAGACCTGGCGAGTCACCAGGCTCTACAGTACCTGGCTTGGGTTTCCCTCCCGGTCTGTCTTATCCTTTTCTCAGCCGGCTTCGTCCACATCTTGGCACCGCAAGCCGTCGGTTAGTATTGCACTGTTCCTGCCTCTTGCATCCCTTGTTCCTGCCTCTCATGTGATTATCATATCTGTCTTGTTCCTGTCTCTCACCTTTATTGTTCTTGACTCTCACCCTGTTTCTGTCTCTCACCTGCCTTGTTCTTGATTCTCGTCTGCCTTGTTCTTAATTCTCACCTGCCTTATTCCTAATTCTCGCCTACTTTGTTTCTATCACCTTCCTTATGTCTGCCTCTTACCTTCATTGTTCATGTCTCTCACCTTATTGTCACCAGACACTCTCCCATCCTCGTTCCTTCACCTTTACTGTATCTACTATTAATTTGGTACTAAGTTTCTAGACATAGGCTGTGATCATGCATAGCTATTATAATTATGATATATTTAATAATCGAAGTTTAAGATAATTTTACAGCATAGAGACAATAATATTAGACATTCATAATCAACTAAGTCTTTTGAAGCTTCTAACTCAAATTCTGAATTCTTGTTTTTACTTGACTTTGTGGTGTATAGTATTACGTATATATAATCTATGAGATTTAGATTTAGATTTTGCCACCGAAGTGGCTAGTTTATTGTGCACCCCATATCCATCCTGTGGACGGTAGCGCGAGAGCATATGGATACACAAAAGGCCTAGGAACTAGGCCAATCTATGAGAGAATGTATATTCTGAAAGAAATATTTTGGCAGTGGTAAGCTGAATTCATTTGATTATTATAATCACTAAGGAGTCATTAAACCCATGAAGGACATACAGTTCCTGCAAAATGGAACTATTATTGCATTCATGGAGAAGCATAACTTTTCCATACAGGGAATGAGAGAGAATTAGGTTTGATCCAAGGAATAGGATAGTAACTCCGCTTCCTTGAATCAAAACCTCTTCACCAGCATCACCACTTTATTACAATAGGTTAATCTTATCTTTCAAGGGTTAGCCTACTATAATACAATAATACCGATGAAGGTATATTAATGCATGAGGCTTTCTAATTCACAGAAAGCCTTAAGGGTGGTGTGCATGGTAAGTCACAAGTGTCGGTACTATGAACAAGTTGATTCAGCATTTTTCTTGCATACGGATATTTAGATTTTATATATTTTTTGTGATGGAAAGTAATTTAATTTATGAGAGTAAAAATTGTGGATTGAGTAATGTATTTTAAATTTTGTTAGTACGTGTACATGCTTTTGGCACATACACCCAATCACTATATTTCTTTGTACAACTATGTATCATGTCCAAATAAAAAATAAATAAGTTGTTGTCAATGTTTTTTAGATACGTACATGTATATTGTATTAAGCAAACTAATTTGAATACGTACATATGTACTATACATTCATACATATACTTACATACATCCATTCATACATATACTTACATACATCCATTCATATACACATACATATACATACACACATACATATATACATACATACGTATTTGAAATCTTGCCGGAGAAAAATGCAGTGATTTCTGTAGCATAATTTATTTGAACAAATTTTAGCTTCCATAAAACACATGAGAAATGTGCGTGTGTGCAGTAATTTAAAAAGATGCAAAATAGTTATTTTTTTACATACATTAGTTTTATATAGACTGGACTAATTAACATTGAGCATTTCACAAGTGATTATAAAACAGATGGAGTGTTCCTTTATGTGTGTTGTGTGTCCGAAGCACAGATGTTCTCATTATATTTAACACTGGTATTTCACTGCACATTCCTATGCTGCTTTGAACTGCTTCCAGCTCTCTCATGCTTAGAAAACTATTTTCAGTTAATTAAACAAAGTATTGACTTTCATGCTTATTGAAATCTGTTTTCATATAAGTTGTAGCTATATACAGTAGAGGATCTCATGCTTATTACATTTAATATTGTTTAATTTTTATGGATATTATCATTTTGCTTGTTTTTTCTCATTATTTTTGCATTAGACATTGTTTCTTAGGGAGATATGGTACAACTATTACATTTTTGCTTTTGTAATGTACAGAAGGAAATGTATGTCTATGACTTGTTTTAGTTCCTTACTGACAGAGGTTTACCTATACTGTACAGTTGTTACAAGTTTTTTTCATTGACGGAGATGTACGACTGTCACCTGTGTTTTTTATCTTACTGACGAAGATGTGGTACAAATGTCACCTGTTTTCGCTTCTACAGGTTCTGGTCTTCCTGAGATTATCGCTCTGCACAAAGGTGCTAGTTGACGGGGCTCGCTAGACCTCTGGCCCCTCTCTACAAACAGACAAACAAACAAAACAAACAATTTCTATAAAGTGGAGTACAGTATATTATACAACTAGGGTAAATGACATATGTATATAAACTACTTAATAGAAAGCCCTTTGTTATGCAAGGCATTTCGGGCAACCTTAAAACTAAAAACTAAATTATGATTACGTACTAGTACACGAGAATAAGAATTCTTAGTTTATATTACATTGGGAATACTTAGTTATTCAATAAAAAATTCTAATTAGTTATACATTAAGGCTGAAGCTAGGTATCCGAGTTGAAGAAATGATGGAACAATAACAGGGACAATATTGGACGAAAGACAGGGTTTCAGGAATTGTTCAGGATAAATTGTTGTCAGGATCACATTAAGGTAAGCAGGTGTTTTTAACAGTAGATTTGATGGCAGATAGGGGAACCGAAATTTTCAGGCAGAGAGTTCCATATTTTAGGTCCTTTTCTGCACAACGAGTATTTACACAAGTTGAGTCGGACACAGGGAATATCATAGATAATTTTATGTAGCATTAAGTCTGTGAGTTTTGTTGCTATAGACACATACATACACAAGGCTCATGGGTAGTCTTGAAACAGTGAAATGTTTGAGTATGTACTCCAGAGTATAATTAAATACATCAAGTGATCTACTAAATAAATGTCCTTATTGTGTACTTCATATTACAAAATGACCCAGGTGTACATCTTGGGACATTCAATACTTAATTTATACAGGTCAGAACACATCCTAATTGTACACCCCAGTAAAACAATTCCTTACAATTCTAAGATGGCTGTCCTGACAACCCAGATTCACATCCATACTGAGAGTAACTAGGAGCGATATATTATTTTATTGGTCACTGGCAGTAACTGACTCTCAGTGGGCAATAAGCCAGCCTCTGAGCAGCTAGTAAACCAGGCTCTTATGTGGGACACATTTCTCACTGAATACACACATTACCCATGTTGTACAACACCCACAATGTACATCCCAGCACACATACTGGCAAGAGTGTACACGTGATCAGCAGAAGATCAACACAGAGTACACAAGGCCACGTCTAGCACATGCTGGGTAAAAGTTTGCCAGCAGGAAACTGGAGTTTGGAGTGCACCTATATTTCCCCTAAGCGTGTAGGGTAGTAGCCAACCCAAGGTGATCTTCCATGGCCCCTTGTCACCTGCTTGCTCAGTAGGGCCAGTGTTTTGAAGACCAGATAAAAACCCTCCAGGACCAATCCTGCTGCCGCCCACACCGTTTGGGATGTGTCATGAAAGCCAGGGATAGAAATATTACTCTGTTTTTTATTTAATATACTAAATTCATTGTCTTCCCTTGAAAAGGGAAACATATTAGTACACAGGGAGGTAAAACATCTTTTAGGAGTGCAGGAGAGCAGGATGTGAGTGTGGGGGAGGTGCATGAGGCATTACGTAGAATGAAAGGGTGTAAAGCAGCTGGAACTGACGGGATCATGACAGAAATGTTAAAAGCAGGGGAGGATATAGTGTTGGAGTGGTTGGTATTTTTGTTTAATAAATGTAATTGTTTTACATGATGGAAGGGTTGCTGGTGTCTTTTGTCTGTCTCATAAATATGCAAGATTACAGGTACGTCTTGCTACTTCTACTTACACTTAGGTCACACTACACATACATGTACATGTTTATTTATAAACACTCATCTGAGTTTTCTTTGATTTTATCTTAATAGTTCTTGTTCTTATTACTTTTCCTTTTATATCCATGGGGAAGTGGAATAAGAATCTTTCCTCCATAAGCCATGTGTGTTGTAAAAGTCAACTAAAATGCTGGGAACAATGGGCTAGTAACCCCTTTTCCTGTAATAATTATTAAAAAGAAAAAGAAGAAGAAAATTGTCAAAGTGGGATGTCTGAATGTGCGTGGTTGTTGTGCAAATGATAAGAAAAAGATGATTGTGAATGTTATGAATGAGAAGAAGCTGGATGTCCTGGCTTTAAGTGAAACAAAGCTGAAGGGCGTAGGAGAGTTTCAATGGAGAGGAATAAATGGGATTAGTCAGGGGTTTCAAATAGAGTTAGAGCTAAAGAGTAGCAATAATGTTGAAGGATAAGCTATGGCAGGAAAAGAGGGACTATAAATGTATTAATTCAAGGATTATGTGGAGTAAAATAAAAGTTGGATGTGAAAAGTGCGTTATAGTAAACATATATGCACCTGGAGAAGTGAGAAGTGTAGAGGAGAGAGAGAGATTTTGGGAAATGTTGAGTGAATGTGTGGGGAGTTTTGAACCAAGTGTGAGAGTACTTGTGGTTGTGGATTTCAATGCTAAAGTGGGTAAAAATGTTGTGGAGGGAGTAGTAGGTAAATTTGGGGTGCCAGGGGTAAATAAAAATGGGGAGCCTTAATTGAGCTATGTGTAGAAAGAGGTTTGGTAATAAGTAATACATATTTTATGAAAAAGAGGATAAATAAATATACAAGGTATGATATAGCATGTAATGAAAGTAGTTTATTAGATTATGTATTGGTGGATAAAAGGTTGATGGGTAGGCTCCAGCATGTACACGTTTATAGAGGGGCAACTGATATATCGGATCATTACTTAGTTGTAGCTACAGTTAGAGGAAGAGGTAGATGGGACAAGAGGAAAAATGACAACAACAAGTAAGAGGGAGGTGAAAGTGTATAAACTAAGGGAGGAGGAAGTTCGGGTGAGATATAAGCAACTATCGGCAGAAAGGTGGGCTGGTGCAAGTATGAGTAGTGG